TTATATTTACAATAATTTATGATGGCCCAACAAACTGTGAAGTTTAATAATGGCAATACTTATCCCATTTTGGGACTAGGGACGTGGAAGGTATGTTAAAATATGTAGTTTTTATTCTAATTTCCATTACATTAACAATTGCTTGTTTATTTTCCTGTTTAGTCCAAACCTAATGAAGTGACACAAGCAGTAAAAGATGCTATTGATGTTGGATATCGTCACATTGATTGTGCCTATGTTTATCAAAATGAAACAGAAGTTGGTGCAGCAATAACTACAAAAATAAAGGAAGGTGTTATAAAACGTGAGAATATATTTGTGACTAGTAAACTGTGGAATACATATCATCGACCAGAGAGAGTTGAACCTGCTTTGAGAAAGACCTTGAGCGATCTTGGTCTACAATATCTTGACCTTTATTTAATGCATTCACCAATGGCATACAAAGGTTCTTTTTTTATTACAATCAAAACTGTTAACTATCACTCCAATAATTTAAAAAATGATGTATTATGTTTGCAGATGGTGACAAAATATTTCCAACAGATTCTGATGGTAATATATTAATTGAGGATACAGATTATTTAGATACCTGGCATGCCATGGAAAGTCTTGTAGAAAAAGGTCTTGTGAAGAACATAGGTGTGAGCAACTTCAATTCTCAGCAAATAGAGCGTGTGTTATCCAACTGTAAAATAAAGCCAGTGACAAATCAAGTTGAATGTCATCCATATTTAAATCAAAAGAAATTATCTGATTTTTGTAAAACCAAAGGGGTCACGATCACCGCTTACAGTTCTTTTGGAGCTCCTGATAGACCTAATGCTGATCAAAATGAACCACGAATATTAGAAGACCCAAAAATTAAAGAAATTGCTGCTAAGTATAAGAAGAGTCCTGCTCAGATTGTACTGCGACATCAAGTACGAGTTTTAAAGATATACGTTATAGTTAATCGAGTTGTTAAAACTCGTAATTTAATACAAATTTTGTAACAGGTACAGTGGGGACATTTGGTGATCCCTAAGTCGGTAACAAAATCAAGGATACAGGAAAACTTAGACATCTTCGATTTCGAGATAAATGCCGAAGATATGAATGCATTAAACGATTTAAATTGCAACAGAAGATATATATCTAGAGTTGGGTATGTCATCAAAGTAAATTATTTTAAAAAACAATGTAAAACAACATCTATTTCAATAATTTTCTATTAAATTTTGTTTCAGACTTCAACATCACAAATACTATCCGCTTCATATAGAGTTCTAATACTGTGATATCGGCGTAATCCATACTCAAGCAGCGGCTCCTACTATACTAATGTACAAAAGGAATAAAGAAATATATATTGTTTAATTTTACAAATTTTTCCATTGGTAATTTCTATCGATCAGTTGCATTGACGCGAGCATGACGTGTCGCTGTCTTCGCAGCCGCAGGAACAACATTCACAGAATTCATCATCGCTATTGTTATCTTTCGCATCCTTATGTAATTTTGAAGCAATCGGTTGGTACTCCTCCGACGGGTCCAACGGTGCATCGCTGCAGTTGCACTCTGTATCTGACAGTCCACGCGCGCATTTACCCTGGCAGTTGCACCTGCAGTTTCCGACTGGCCGTGAATAATCCTTGCAGGACATCGAAGGACAAATTTCACACGGACTCCCAAGATCGCAAGGCAACACGAATGGTTTGCACGCTTTTCGAATACCTGCGTGATTGAATCAATCATAATTAATTTATGTAATTAATATCTATCTTTAACAGTAGAAGATCCTTCGTGTACCATGATCTATGTTCCTGCATCGTGGTATCTCGCAGAATGGTTTTCTCGAGAGAACCGTAGATTGAGGACAACCCTTGAACAGTTTATTGCAGGGGATATCACAAGGTAAAACAAATTTGCCAGCACAAAGTTTTGTCTTGACCCTTCGACGGTCCTTAGACTTCGCTGAGGATGGTGGTGGACAGACAGAGTGCCCACAAGGTTTGCAAGATGGGGTTGTATATCCAGTTCTCCTCGATTTAGATAGTTCATCATTATTCCCTTTCTTGTCATTCTGTTTTTCTTTCATACTAAAGGCTTGAACTGTCGCTTCAGTCGATTCAATTACTGTTGACTTCTCAGGTTCCTACAATGGTATTAAGCACATATAATAGTTGCAATATTTGCAGCGATGAACATTTTTTACCTCGTTCTTGGCACTTGATGACGTGGCCGTTTCTTCATTTTTAGGAGACGGAATAGAATCTGTTTTCTGGCTGGCTGACCACCAGTTTGGCATCCATGAAGATTTTTTCTCCACCTTTTCTTCAGCTTGTTCTTGTTTATTTTGAATGCTGTGCTCGGAAGTAGAGACTATTGCGTCGCTTTGGGTCTGTGTCTATGTAAAAACATAAACGAATTAATGTCTTTGTTTTGTGAAACTTTGGATAAAGTAAGGATGAACGTGATCCTACCCGTTCACTCTCGCTAATAACGTTGATTCCTTCCTGCTCGAGTTTCTTCTTCGAACGCTGACCGTTTGGCCTTTGCCACAAACATTTGTCTGGTATACAACATATTTTCTTCTTGCCGCAGGACATATCTTGAAGACAACCGATCATCTTACGTCTATCGCAAACGCTCTGGTACTCTCTAGACGTCAACAAACGGTCCATGTGTTCCTTGAACAATGTCTCTTTCAGCTCCAATTCCTTGATACAATTTTTCAGGCATAATTCCTCTTTAGCCAGTTGACGAATCTTCGACAAACATATCAAATCCTCGGAATGGATGGAGTGAAGACTTGGAGTAGTGTAACTTTCCACCTCCTTCTCCAAATTATTCAGGGTATCGCTCATCTCCTTGTTCGCAAGTTCCAAGGATTCGAGCTCCATATCAGTTTCCTCCAGCTTAACGTCCGCTTGAATAATCTTCTCCTGCAATTAAAGATAATACTTTCATTGAACGCCCTCTGCAGATAAAATTAAACGACGACTTGAGTTAAGTTTTGGGCTTGGGTGTCTAAGTTTCAGCTCACTGACAAGATTTACCCGAATTAATCGCTGAATTTCAATCGTTCCGTACATGCAACTCGGTCGTCTCCCCGTGAAGCTCCTTCACCGTCTTTTTCAAGTTCTCGAGAAGTCTGTCGGTCGGGTCTGGATGGGGTGAGAATTTCTTCATAATGTCGCGAACTTTGCAATACGGTGCGTCCTCGCATTTATCCTTGGCCATCCACATGTTGTACGCTATCAGCGCAGGAATCGAGCGTTCCATCGTCGTGATTTTGTCCCTCAAATATTTCTGCCTACCTATTAGGTCGCAGCGACGTTCCTCCATCTTCGTGGTGATGTTTTCGAAGTACGGCGAACAGGGCTCGGTTGCCCCTTTTATTTCCGTCTTGGAACCTGAAAAGCAAAACAAAGAAAATAATCAGACTTAATATATTTTAGGCGTGTAACATTTATTTGGATAGCGTTGCTCACATTTGCAACGAGACATCTTGCTTTGAGGATGCTACTTCTTCAGACGAGATAAATCACTTTAGAATTTAGAGCATGTTAAAAAAGAATTAGGTATTTTAGTTATAGTCTTGTTTGAAAAATGCTATTGATAGTTTTCATTTATAACAAAATGTCGCTTAAATGCCATTTTCTGGATTCGGTTCCATTTCGATTTTCCAATCGACGCTACAATTTCACGTGCTCGTACGGGTATCGTTTGAAATTGTCATAATTTTGCTATTCATAAGAAAAACAACAAAGAAACAAAAAAGAAAGCAGGAAGTGCGTGACACATACGTTCTTTCGTCGTTATCTGAGAAGAACGAAAAGGAAATCAGTATGCGTTAACGTTGCTCTCCACGGATCATTTAAAATGCATTAGTTTCGTTAGATAAACGTGAAAAAAATAAACGTATTACTTGAAATCTGGAGCTAATAGAAGAAGATGTTGCCGCTCGACTTAGTCGAGAGTAAGTAAAACGACGCTGAAGATATAATTTTACTGTTTATTTGCATATAAATAAGGTTGATATTCGTTAGAAGGACGGAGGACTTAACAAGTCGTGACACGGACGACGATAAATGTTCGCTGATAACTGGAACCAGCGTGTCCCTACAAGACAGTACAGGAAGCACGATCACAAGCTTGGCAAGGTCGAGCTATGAGCGTAATTTCGAGGATCGTGTGTTATACGGGCAAAGCGGGGGTCGCAGATTTAGCTATAAAAAAAGAAAGACTTGCAGCGGAAATGGAATATTTAGTGCTCCCCCCGGAGTCAGTCCCCATCACGTTAAATCGTCGATAATACGTCGCAATACAAGTTTGTCTTGTACTTTCTGTCTATTGTATCATAAGTATTGCGTATCTTTTACTTTGACATCTGATAGGCTTCCCTCTATTTATAACAGACGGATCTCAATTGATTTTTATTTGGCCACAAAAACCACCCAGAAGTAGACTGCTAAGGGTCCTAGCTCCTCTTATGCGAGGTATTCTTATTGGATTCCTGTTCATGGATGCTGTTCACCTTTGGCCAGGAGAATTCTTACCCACATCATTGCCGTCTATAATGCCCGTTCCTTTACCTCCTGTCAAGTGTAACGTAATCGAACCACGTTGGTTCGATAACAGTTAAATTTCATCTAAAAGAAAATTTTTTCAAAGTTGACGGACTTTCGACGATAGAGAACAAAATTATAAAAATGAGTTATACGATGTAAAAAAATTGTAATAAATGTAAAAGAAATATTTCTTCGAAAGATCAGGAGTCGTATAAATAGTTACAAAGTATATCTGTAGTTTAGGAGCTGTATATTTTCATTTAGACAATTTATTTTACGAGCATACGATTGATATAATTTTACCGGAAGAGGAAAATTCGGGTAGTTCTAATAAGCATGCGTTCCCCCATACCGTCCATGCGGCTGTCTGTAAACATCAAGTAGCGTGGCGTGCGATAGTGTGGATCATTTAGGGAAGTTTTCTTTGTATTCTCATCCGAAAAAATGTCAAATAGTCACATATTCTTGAAGTATGGATACCCACATGCACCCTTTGGCCTGGGCATTGGTCGCTACGTCTGTCAGCTTCAAAGAGTAACTTTAAAGTTCTGCAAAAATCACGGTGCCAGTCTTGGAATTAGGTAAGATGTTTTCAAGTTTCTAACCTCTTCACTTTTGTACGTAGGCGCTCATTGATTGTTCATCCAGGAGTAATACAAAATAATATCATTCTTGTTCATCGTTTGTCAAGTTAATATATCTGTATTTTCTTTCGTAAATCATAATCTACAATGTCACATGTAGGATTACCATTCTTAGATCATAAGAAAGAAAGTACACAGTGTATTAGATGATAGAGAAATTATCTTGTCACTTGCAACATTTTTTTGGTGTACAGGAAGTTTATAGAAAACAATTTAATTGATTATGCAAAGGATAATCCTGGTGTTGTGGTATATATTAAACCAAGAAGACACAGAAATCCAGTTGTAAAAGCAGAATACTGTAAGTTGAATATTATTCTATGAAATATATTCAATTTAAAAATGTTTTACATATATTTTAGTGAATGGTGAGTCACACTGGATGTGTGTTGCTAATTATACTCGTGAGGATATTGTACAATATATGGAATTATTGAGAACACAGTATCATGATGGTACATCGCTTCGATTGATTAAATTATGGCGTACAGACTTTCCTTCTATTCAAGGACCTTGGACACCTTTTACATTCAAGGATCCGTCTTTGAACCTTGCAAAATTCCCAGATGTAAATAATTCATTTTTATTTGTGATAATTGAATATTTTAGATCATACTTTTTCTGATGTGTGTTAAATATCGCATTAATTTTTTCAGGAAAAACTTGGTGAATATATGAAGAAACGTCCTACAGCAACAGAAGAATTAATTAGATTATTTAAAGAACAACAAGAAGTTGAAAAGTTGAAAGAAGAAGATAAAACTCAACAAAGCACTGGCTAAATACAAATTGTTACTAATCTTAATATTTTGTTATATATAAATAAATAGTACGTATTTGCGATTAGATATCTATTCTGAAATTCTGGAATTCTGAATCAATAGAACCTTTTGTAAGTAACATTCATTTCTTTTATTTTGCATGTTATATTACAAAAGAACCTAATAAATAAATATATCTAATATTAAAGTGGAAACTTTTATGTACATATACCAAATCATTACTTTTAAGTCACTTAATGAACATAAGAGTGTTTGAAAGTAAATGTATAGAACTTTTATAAAGTCATGCATACCATCATCTATTGGTCATTATAAATTTTATGCACACATATCCTATATATACGAAATTAATATACAAGCTAACGTAATAAATACAAAGTATAATCGGACACGAAGATTTTATAACAAATATATTTAATTGGTAATTTGTGCTCTATTCTTCTGCAATGTAAGTATATCAGTGACTAGCATACCATCTTATATGCAATACTTTTAATACCTAAGAGAAGTAGAATTACAATTGAACGATTAGCACATATCATTTTTAATAGTATTCAATGCTACTGTCGTACTAATATGACAGGTACATACATGGTATTTTTTTAACTACGATTTCATGTATAACATTCTACATATTCACTGCTATACAAAAATATATTTTAGCGTTTCTCATATAAAAAATTGAATAGTGACATCGCATGTAGCACCATAATTCTTAAATAAACGATTGTATATAAACTAATTTTCAAACGAAATTATTCTATTCGCTTGTTTGACCATTTGACTTTTTAAATATTCTATTCGTGCAACATATTTCCATTTCGGTAACAACATACAAATGTAATATAAAATGTTATATTATTCGGTGTAATCATTTCAGTTTTCATTTTCGTTAATACATGTTTATTCGTTAAAAAATAAAGCGAATACGTAACTGCTATCCGTTTATTAAATCTTCATTTTTCTATTAAATAATGCCTAGATTTAATTAAAACAATTAATCAAATTGTCGTCTAAAAAATGAATAAAATATTAACAGTACTGCATGTGTAGTGAGTGAAGTCTATGATCTTGTTTTGGTAAAAAATGTTCAAGTTAAAGAATTCTACATTTAAACTCACGCGTGCACATCCACTATTGTTTTTTTTTTTGAATTTCGATGATGTGAATTATAAAAATAGAAAATATGTAAAATACGATTTTAATTAGATTGCAATGCATAGTGACACTTTAAATAATCTCCAAGGGATGGGTACAACAATATTAACCCTGACATATTCTAACTTCCTTCATTGACAAATATGAATAAATAGTTTATTTTTTAGACTACAGTAGAGACAGTAATATTTTTCTATATCATTTTTACAAAAAGAAAGAAATGCAATTTCTCCTACATAATATCAAATGGATTTTGTCCATCTATCAAAATAATGAGATAATGGGGTGACCTAAATATGTAGGATCACGAGTGGGATGACGTTGATGTTACATACACTCATACACGGAAAATATTTCACATCATGACATACCATTCCAGATTTCATTATGTATAAATAATAAATTTATAATCCCTTATTATTGAATTTCATTATTAAAAATGGACAAATATGGTACTTGTAAAACAGTTTAGTTATTCAATTTAATGACAATATTAATCAACGTTTTAAATTACAATAAATTGGTTTTAGGAACGACTATGTCGTTACTTGGCTATAAAAATTATATTTTGATATAATAATAAAAAAATATAATTTATTTACGAAAATAATGTTAAAATATAATTTAATAAGATAAAAAGATAATTTAATAAAATTCAACGTACCATATTTGCGAAAGTAAACAGATTGAATCATGCATACAGACTATTTTTCTCCTATCGGACTGATACCGACGAAAAGATACAAAACAGCACATCAGATGAAATGTCCTTGATTAAGCAAAATATCACACATTATATCGATCGTGAAGGTGCGACTAGAAATGTCTCGATTCATTGGACTTTGAGTCGTTTACTAATTTCCTCTTGTTGCTTTTCCCTCCATTCTTTTTTTGGTTTCATTCTTTTAAGTTGACCATCCCTAAAGAATAATATCAGTGTATCAGAGTTCATTAATTGCGAGTGTTTTTTTTACGTTTAACATACCACTGTAAGTCAACCAAACCCCCTTGTCTTGCTATCACAGATTTTACCCTATTTGCGAAATCGATAGCGCTCTCTCCTTCATTTCTGTACATTGGAGGAAGATACCAGACGTCGCAAACTATAGCCCAACTTGACATAGTCATATATAAGTATTGTATCATTGAATATCGACTACTATTCCAGAAAGCATCACCAAACCTTGGGTCATACTGTTAAGGCCAATAAAATTAATTTATTATCTAAAATACTATATAAACATCGTATGAAATTACCTTTATTGCAACTGGATAAATAACGCCACCAACTTCAAAACTGCCCTTCTTAAACTGCATAACTGATGTATTATTTATACATGTTCCTTCTGGGAAAATAAGAATCGGTGGATTTGTAGGATCGGACACATGCTTCTTCAACCTACAAAATGCACAGAGAATGAAAATAGAAGTTTAATCAAAATATTTGTACGAAGAAGAATCAAAATTTTAATTTACCTCTTTGCTACTGCTTCTCTATCTTTAACTTCGGATCGTTCGAACCATATATGAGGAGAAGCACGAGCTAAAGCTCTTTGAAGAATTCCCAAGAATCCTCCATGCCTTTGACCTATCTGAATTAACATGTACTAATGAATGATATGTAAACTGTATCTAATATTTTATACATCAAAGTTATATTTACATAATGAAGCACATAAAAAAGCGATACATTGAAAGCATTAGTAAGTTAACCGTCCACTGCATGAATTTTATTTTATTTACCGAATGGAAATTATTTCTGGTTATTTGTGCGATCATGAATTAATTAATATAAAAAATAAACCATGAGTGGATGAACATGCAGGATTATTAAATGTCCCTGTAACCAATGTAAGAAAGCACCACACGCAAATCTCGTAAAACATTTCTTTCCGAACTCGATATATTATGCAATAATGCAGGGATCAATAATCTTCCGAGCAAGAAGATAAAGATTCTACATAAAAAAGAGAATATGAAGATCCGCACGTACACATAACACGTACATGTTCTTATTTATCATTCCATGTAACCTTATACGTATGTGTATATATTGTTACGATATTACACACAATTTGTATTTAATTTTTGACACATGTTCATTATTAACAACTCTTGATTTCCGAATTACAATTAAGTTCTATCACCTTTAGTTTTTTGTTAATTACTTTCTTTTTGCTTTTCACCTTTAGACACTTAGTTTCAGACACACATAAAGTACACTAAACTAAACTACAAAGGAGGTCGGCAAGATAGTTGCAGTATTTGTGTTCAACTCTCAAAAAATATTCATGAAACCGAGAATTCCGAAAATTATAAAGTATTGTATAGTTCGTTTGCAATACAAGACCATTTTTTCTAAATTTTGCACATTTCTGGGATGAACTATACTTGCACGCAATGCCTCAATAATTTAAACAGAAAATCGCAGTTTGCCGACTCCTGCAGTAAAGGGTTAAAGAGATATTCTCATTCGTGTATACAAAAAATAAATATTGAAATTTGAACATTTACTGAAGATACAATTTCGAATGAAAATACCCTTTTAATGAACGCTATACTATACTATATTTTGCTCACTACCGAAATGGCGACAACGTACCAAAGAGTAACAATTGTCGCACATGAGTACCAGAACGTCAATGGGGGAAGTGTGATTAGCCACACATATACCCCTTACTGGTCGATTCTCTGGGTTATGGTATGTGATTACTGACGATAGAGCGCTCGACAAGACACTGAAGCACATTATGGAAACTTTGAAATTCAGCCATCGTTTGAAACTACCCTCTGGAACGTAGCCCACTACTGCTGTACATACTGTCAGCCACATCACCTGTAAACCATAAGCTTTGCACCTGAGAAACGATGATTCCCTCTGTATCGTTGCTGAGTAGTTTTACCTGCAAAGCAAAGTTACAGGGCACTGTTACCTGTAACATTTACTAATGCATTTCAACTTCACTGGTAGCCAATATGCATGTATGTGTTTGTGGATATTTTGTGTAACGAAAGATGGAAAGTTGCGTGGTGTAATTTTGTTATGTTTTTCGTGCGTTAGAAGATGTTCGATTATTTTTATGCGCGGTTGAATGCAGTATATGCAATATATTTTTAAGTCGGTAAATAAGTGGACATTTCAAAAAGTTGATTTCCAACGGCCACAGCGTTTAATGACGGACGAATTTTGAAATATAATGTATTGATCCTCATAATGGTATATTACCAAAGAGAATGTTGTCTGTGTGGATAAGATGCACACATCAATTGTGGAAGTGTGATTTGCCACACACATGCCTCCAGTTTTTGGTTTATATTCGTTATTATGGACTGTAATTATAGCCGATATAGATTGGGCTATTAGTCTGAACGCGACGAGGCTAGCCTTGTTGTACGCCCATTTTTTAATAAAACCGTTTGGTAGTAGGGCAATACAAAATGTTGTGATTACAAGATACTGTACCTAGGAAGCTTTGATATTAGTTGATTTGCAAATTCAAAATACATAATTAGTATTTAAATAAATTATCTAAAAGAATGTTCATTGGCATACATTAAAATTAAAAACAGACAGTATTCCTCTAACAATCTTTGTTTCATATAGGATATACAAATTACAATATACCCTTGCATCCAAATGTAATTATGAAGTAACATATAGCCTACCATGTCTCTTCAATTTCTGTTTAATAGTAAATGGTTCTCTATAAATTATTTGAAAAATAGCTCAACGTACCCCTATGAAGCAAATGAATATCCTCAAAGGAAGAAGGAAGCAATATCGCATAATAAATCCAAACATCCATATCACAGTTAACTTCCAGGAAATAAATTCATATTGTCTGTTTGTCCGTGTTAATAGATTCCAGTTCTAATTTAATAAAATAAAATCAATATAATATGAATGTTACATTTTCTAATTAAATTCCCCAAAATGGGTATATATATTACCTTGAGCTCTTCTGCTTCAAAACGAGAGGTCACCTCATCTTCAATGATAGCTTCCACACCAGCTTTTATGTAATCCAAACAAATTGCAGATTCAAATTCCTTCTGAAATGTCCCAAAGAAATCCGTGGGAACGAGACCCTAAATCAGAAATGTTTACAGGATATTATATAAGTAACCATATGCAAATTTTCCCAATGAAATAAAAATAAATAAAATACAAATTACCTCATTCTTGTCAACGACTGCCGACGTTTCAGATGTCTCTGCCTTGGATTCCTCCAGGTCATTTTTGTGATTTTGGGTCTCTGGCTCTGGCACCAGAATCAAGTCTTTCGACCTAGCTATCACGGTGTTACCCAGAACGCCGTTTTGCATTTTGCGTTTGGTTCCTATACAATTTGGCACGTTTTGCTTTTCAACTAGTGGCTCGTGTTCCTCGTCGTCCGGTTCATTCCACGTACCGTTCCTCTTCTTGACATACTCGATGTTTTGTCTGCCATACTAAAATGAAAACGGTTCTTAGTAATCATCCAGGAAAGTGTTACAATGCTTCTAAGAAATCGCAGGTCGTCGTCTTTTAAAACGAAATAAACGGTACTTTAGCAATAGACCGCATTAAGGAACCAACTTTCTTTTTTTTTCTTCTTTTTTTTTAATAAGCTTAACGTCGCATCAACATCATGGGTTATTAGCGACTTACAGAAACAGTACAGTTATTACATTTTGTTAAAGAATTCAATAATCCTGATTTCGTTGTATTTGGGGCAGTCAAGGATGATATGGTTAATAGTGATTTAGGTGTTACATTCGTCACAATTTAATGATTCACTTCTGTTGAGTAGGTGTGAGCGAGTAAACTTGCTGTGGCCGCTTCTGATTCGTGTTATTGCCATTTGCTGCCTTCGGTTGAATTTTGGATTCGTTTGTGAGATCAAAAAAACTTTCAATAGCTTTATAAACTGTGCTAGCTCTATATGTTCTCCATTTTGCAGTCCAAAACTGCCTTAATAATGTTTCTAGGTGTTTAACGATGTCCGAATAGGTATTGTGAATAGATTGGCTATCTGTTTTAAGGGTAGCTGCTATTTTGGAACAAACTTTGTTTTCCTTTATATTTCAGAATTTTCAGCAGTTTACCAGAAAATCAGAAAATTCGGGCATCGACGTCATTTTGATAAAATGTACTTTACCGTGATCCATATTATAAATAAAACGTTAGTTATATAAGAATCAATTACCACTTCTTTGTTCTTTCTCTAATGAATTTATCTCAATGACAAAAAGATATTGCAAGGAATACCTGATTCATCATTTCGTTTTTTTTCGATACACATTTTGAGACCAATTCGTTTGGCGAATGACAAATTGCTTCCTTTCAACACAAGTATATTTTACTCGCGAGTAAATGACGCAATAATATCGTTATGCAATTTTTCTTTACCATTTTTTTCAAACGAAAACACGATTCACTTTGCACGGAAGTTTCAGCAAGGTCACGAGAAGTTTATCAAAAAATAGTCGAACGATGGAAGATCTACGAATGTCGTTAAAGAAGCTGTAGTTATCTCGTAAATCGTAATTAAAAATAACAAATTAAAACGACGTACTATACTTGATCTGAAAAAGAAGAAATGGCCGCTGGCAGAAAAAGTAAAGTTCAACGGATTTCGCAACCTCTACGATAACAATCTGTTGATATTCAATATACATATTTTCTAATTTAAGAACAAATTATTCGAATAGAAAATGTACTTAAATATCGCTCAAAGTTTGTTTCCTTTATTATAATTATTAACGTACAGGCGACGAATTACAAAAGTATGTACAGAATTTGGATAGTTCGAATAATTAAACGCGAGCAAATATTCCGTAAATATATACGCACGTGTTGATGGAAAAAAAAACACAAAAAACAATGAATGTAGCTAAAATTTATAATAGGAGAAAACATACTGTAACCACTTTGGTTCTATGCATAGATTAACTCTTCCTTTTACCCAGTTACATAAATAGACTGTAATTGAAATTGTAATTGACGTTAAATAGAGCCATACTAATTTCTGTGCCCAAAGAAAAATTAATGAAATGAACAGTTTTCTTTGATACCCAAATATACCTATACGTACAATACATATGCGGAGACATTAGTGCGCACAATCTTACATCTATGAATTTGCATCATTCGAGGACTTGCTGTATTTTTAATATTTATATTTTATAATAAATTCTCTTACGTCAAGTTCATATTCTATCAAATGTTGTAACACCTTGAAGGGGGTGGTTCGGGAGGTGATTTGAAACAACTTTTTCTTTGGCGAAAATGTTGTCCGAGGCTTCGTTGAGGAGGTATTAACGGAAAACACTGACCAATTAGAGCGCGCGTATACTGTTGGAGCGTCTAGGCGGCCGCGCTCATACGCTATCGCGGGCGCTCCATCGGCATACTCGCGCTCTGATTGGTCAGTGTTTTCCGTTAATATCTCCTCAACGAAGCCTCGGACAACATTTTCGCTAAGGAAAAAGTTGTTTCAAATCACCTCCCGTACCACCTCTTTCAATGTGTTACAACATTTTTGGGACACCCTGTATGCAGGTCAAACGAATGGGTTGAGACGTCTCTCTGATAAGAAAAAATGAACATTTTCGTTGGCACGTGTATGGTTAATTAAACACATTCTGCCAAAGTACAATCGATAAGGAGGACGTTTAACGAGGAGGGATTTGCTCGAACTTTGGACTCGTCTTCCTCAATTTTTGTTGGCCTCTGGAATAATGAGCAACCTTTTAGGCACGTTACGGTGCAATACCGTTAACCTTCGTACTATGCAAGGAGAAATCGGTTGCAGACATCGTTGTAAACAAACGAAAAGCGATGCAATAAGACGGCCTTTACCTAAAGCGCGTGATGCGCAAAGCGGATGCGCCCACACCTGTTTTATGTATCGCAAAATTTCGATTTATCCACGGTAAACAATATTCTAATACTTACTCGGACATCGTTAAACACCTAGAAACATTATTAAGGCAGTCTTGGACTGCAAAATGGAGAACATATAGAGCTAGCACAGTTTATAAAGCTATTGAAAGTTTTTTTGATCTACAAACGAATCTAAAATTCAACCGAAGGCAGCAAATGGCAATAACACGAATCAGAAGCGGCCACGGCAAGTTTACTCGCTCACACCTACTCAACAGAAGTGAATCATTAAATTGTGACGAATGTAACACCTAAATCACTATTAACCATATCATCCTTGACTGCCCCAAATACAACGAAATCAGGAGGAAGTTAAACATCCATAATAGTATCAGTAACACCAACTATTCTTTCAAATGCCAGGACACCTTAGTAGAATTCTGCAAGATTATTAAATTCTTTAACAAAATGTAATAACTGTACTGTTTCTGTAAGTCGCTAATAACCCATGATGTTGATGCGACGTTAAGCTTATTAAATAAATAAATACAAAAAAAAAAAAAAAAAAATTCTCTACTCGATTATCCGTACATAATTTCGAACAGCTAAGTGCCAACAGAAATAATAAAATCGTTAAGAAACAAACTCTGATGGATAATCAAGACTGTAGCGTTGAATGTTTGAATTCGTTAACGATTTACCATCCCAAAGTGAACTCTCTTATCAGACGAAAAGTAAATTGCTCGGCTACCCAGACGCTAATTACAATATCGCGATGAACAAGTTTACTAAACCTGAGCCGGAGTTTCATTTGAATAATATATGAAGAATATTAAATACAAAATTATGCAGTTTTTCATGCAAGGGCATTTGAATGTCAATATATACATTGGATTTGTTTCTTATGTATATTACTATATCAATAAAAACATTTAATTTTCCTATAATATCAAGAAACCTATCAAACCTATCGTGTAAATTGTGACTCTGAGAATAAATGTTTGCTTATCAGGGTATTTGCATTTGGAACTAACATCTCTTTCGTGTGTTCTCATGTCTTCGAAAGGAAACTATTATAAGTGGTTCTAGGTATTTGCTTTTAATGAAACCCCCTGTATACACATTAATCTACTACTTACTATGTTCAATGAACTTTTAATTCGATTTTTAGAAGCTTCGAGACGAAGTGAACGATATTCAAACTTCGACGTGTACCGTATGTTTTTCGGCCTTATTTATCGCGCGGGATCTGCTGACGGAATCAGTACGAAATTGTTGAGGAAAAAATGAATATCTTTGAGAGTTTATCTTATTCTACATTCAATGATAGCAGTCTGGCCATTCTTTTATCGTACGTTTTTTGTCACAATTAGCTTTACGCCTTACTTATTATATAAGTATATAATACGATTATATACTATATACGTATTATATATACGTATTAGAAGTATTATAGTATTATAATATTATAATTATATATCATAATAATAATTATATATATTAGCAGTATTATATACGTATTATATACTTATAAATTAATGTACATTTCTTTTTTTTTTAATCAAGTTTTAAAAATTAAACAGTTGTGCGAATACTTATTGCTTCAATATTTCTATCGATTAATTGTTTTTTTCTTGTTAATTTTGTAACTTACACAAATAGCTATTTTTTTTGTAATCTATTCTAAAGATTTCCAAGAATATGTAGAATGTCATTGTTTATCAAAAAATAAGTTGATAAATTACAATTTTACATAGTTTTTTTGGAAATCGATCGGTGTACGAATACTTTCTACACCCACTATAGTATCATATACAGGGTGTCCCAAAAACGTTGTAACACCTTGAAGGGGGTGGTTCGGGAGGTGATTTGAAACAACTTTTTCCTTAGCGAAAATGTTGTCCGAGGCTTCGTTGAGGAGATATTAACGGAAAACACTGACCAATCAGAGCGCGCGTATATCGTTGGAGCGGCCGCGGTAGCGAATGAGCGCGGCCGCTTAGCGCGTAGCCTAAGCTCAACCGGCATACTCGCGCTCTGATTGGTCGGGGTTTTCTATTAATATCTCCATAACGAACCCTCGGACAACATTTTCGCTAAGGAAAAAGTTGTTTCAAATCACCTCCCGAACCACCTCTTTCCAGGTGTTACAACATTTTTGGGACACCCTGTATAAACAGGAAAGAAGTTAAAGTAATAAAAGAAATGACTATTTTAAGTTCGCCAAATACTGCCTACACTCGCCCACCGGCCGTCCATACTATCATATTAATTTCAATTCAAACGCTTTGTTGTATACGTAGAAAATCGTCTAGTCACCGATTCGTCTTTTCTACAAACAAAGCGAAATTCACGCGCTATTGTAGCGCGAACGGTGAATGACCTTCTTCCACAGTAAAAAGATTAGTGGATTTGCAAAGACGGAAAATTACGCGGCGTAATCTATCAGAAAGGGAATACTTGACCACCGTCGATATCATCGAAGATGCAAAAGAATGACCTTAGATACATTCGAGACAAATTATCTTAATCGTGTAATTGAACGTATTGTTTCGAATAGATTTATCTGTGGAAACTCAATTTATTTCTAGTAGCGAACTTTACACCGGCGGTTATCGATCTAAATAAAAGTTGCCGTTATCAAACGTTAATCTATCAAACGATTATGTTTATTGTCTGAAATTTACGACGATCGGTGTGATGAAAGGGTTCAAAATAAGGACTAATAAAGGTATTGTTTACTCATCCTTCCTGTAATCATTGATGACTAACCGAGATCATGATTAAACAATAAAAGTGTCTCAACCGGAACGTTAACCTTAATTGAGTTGCTCGATGGTACGATCTTGAAATAATAAATTTACATAAAATTTGGGCCAATTGTCGACGATTTCGTTCTGGTAATAATAATAGAAATACAATGCAAATTAAACAAATTTTTTAAACAATATTATAAAAGTAAAATATTGTTCGAAAAGATTGTGCAATTTATTAGAGTTGCCATTTTTTATTTCAAGAACACACGGACAGTGCGATCGTATTACATGACAGGAAATGATTAATATTCCAATCATGCCGAAAAGATATCGAGAAAGTCGAATTCTTCGATTTTGTGGTCACGGAAACAGTTGTGTACATATTGCACCTTCAAAATGGCATAAAACATGTATTCGAAATTCGATTATTACTTGGATCGCGCACGAAATCCTCGTAATTATTTATTATATCCGTAGAATCGTCTCTAAAAGCTCTGTTCGGAAATGTTAAATTTGAAACCATGCTCTCACAAATTTCTCTAAGGTAGCACTTCACCGATGATGGCTTTAAATCGATACTTGTTCCGTACATTGTAATATACACATCGTCGTAACATCACCGAAGTATGCTTACATTAATCCCAATTTAATATTTCACCGTACACTTCTTACGTTAGTCATTGTTACACGCACAAATGAAATGTTAAGCGTATACACAAAAACTTCATCAACATGTACACATGAATAAAATTCATGAATAGAATACTTTTGAATCGTTGAAAGAGTCATCGAAAACCATTAGCACTGTATTGTTTTCTCACAAAAATCACACGATTATTAACGATTAATAAAATATACCTGTCGTTCGAACATAATAGTTCCAAATTCCAATTTTTGAAATGTTTCCTCGTCGATAACTTCGCATATACTTGCGAATTCTCGTTCGATTTATTATCATATTTTACAAAAATATATAAAAAAAAA